CCCCCCCTTTCGGCTCCCCCTTTTGGACATCACTGGATCCGCCCCTGAGTATTATAGAAGATATTTATGTTTTATTTATTTGTTTGTTTATTTGGTATTGAAATATTTTGGGATAGCCATTTTTCAGTATTGTGTTTATATTTTGGGTTTTTTTAATATAAAGGTATTATAACATAATATTTGCAACCAAACAATTTGACAGTTGGTCTTATTACACAACCAGTGCTTAGAAAATTGTATGAAAAGGTTGTTTTTTTGCAGCATTGTTTTTGCAGCATTGTTCATTTTTCTACTCAGTCTCCACTTCCTTTTGTGTATGCTGCCCTCATTGGCTGTCCTTCACCTAATATACATTACATCTGTATGCTGGTTTGTCCATTACCTGAAGTTATGACTGTCATTTGCCAAAAGTGTTATGTATGGTCCATTAGTCAATACTTACCTTGACCATTATATAACGCTCCCTGAGGAGTGCTTTTCTGTCACTTTCACATCCCATCATGTGTTTATGACAAAATGGGTGGTTGGATCCAAGAGGGTCATTCCATGTATTATAACATGTCATAATATATTGTTTTCTTAACATGTTTATAATTAAATATATAGTTATTTTAGTAAATATTACTGAAATTATTAGTGAGAATATTACCAATACATGAATAGGCAATTTTACAGGTTTGTTCATCTCATTTTATTAATCGGAAAAGAAGTTAACCATGCATTTTAATTGGATTATCAGCAGTAATAAAGGTACTTTAGCCCCATATTTATGGAGCTGTATGGAGCCCATCATATTAAGCCTCTAAATTTTGAGGTAGAGTGGTATGTTCTTTGCCATTCCACCTGTTTTAACTTCTGTATATTTCAAGAAGTTTTTATGACAGCTGAGTAAACAGAGCCCACCCCTTTGCCAGGACTGAACCTGGGTCATCAGTATGCTAGGCAACTGTCCTAATCACTTGGCCACCGCGAATCACTGTCAGCAGTATTTCTCCATTGCTTGACATGCATGAATGCTGTGTAAGCATATATATTATAGGCTAGTTAGCTAGTTTTTTTTTATTAGTAGGCCTATATTAATTATTTGTTGCAGTGGAAATGGTTTGGTTTCCAAAAACTTGAGGTTATGGTTTCCATCCTTCGATGTGCATTTTGCTTGTGTCTGCCCAGCTGTATTATTGAGTACCAGCAGACTGGTGGGAGTAACCTGCGTTGGACTAGCGTCCCATGCAGGGGAGCACCATACTCTCATCCACTTCATACTACAGAAACTGGGGATAAGCTAAGGATTTACTTTACCTATAGTATATTATTTATTGTTTTTTAGGTACTTGTTGGTGGAAACATTAAAACTCTTTCCTGTAACACCACGCCAAATTTTTGATGAGTATTTGAACAATGTAATCTATAACTGTTAAAGGTAATCAGAAATTCCCTTCCGACGTAAAGTTGCTCCTGAAGTCGACTTAATTCTTTTCCCAGAAGACATGGCATCATGTCAACACCATGAACAATACATGAAAGACAATAATTGAAAGACAGGAATTTACTCTTCCCGCTATGACTCAACTTTCTTTTGAGTCCAGCACACGACCATAGAGGGATTTTGTAGTGATAGGATCACATTGCCCGTAATGACTTCTCCATCTGTATTGGTCAATATTTGATCATGGTTTTGTCAAAAGGAAATTTATACTTGGGTTGATTTCTTTGTAAAAGTGTTTTTTTTATAGAGTCCTGGCAATAGAATCTTGTTGAAAGGGAAACAAGTGCTTGACCATGTTGAACGATGACCTTTAGTATAATTATTATATCGTATTGTAGTTATTTTTATACCTAAAGTAGTAACCTACAGCATATATCTGTTAAAATAAGTTAACTTTTGGCAAAAAAGTGTTTTGGAGATCTTTTGGCATTTTAATTGAAAGGTAGCTACAATTTCATCAAGCAAATTATTGTATCAATTATTAAAGGGTTGTTACAAATTTTTTCGTTTAGCAATTGATTCTGTCTTTTGCAAAATTGAATTTGACAAACTAAATTAAAATTAATACAAGTTTTGACATTTACATTTATTATTTAGTTAGGGCTTCACTTCTGACATAAAAAAAAAAATAAGAAATACAATTTCACATTTTTTCATGTTTATCGTTCTAAATATTTATGTATTTACTTAGGAATGTTTCTTCCATTTGGCAACAGAGTGGTAATAACAGATAATTCATACCAGCACATTTCGTTAAATTGCTCTTATCGGGTCCAATATATATTCAATCAAATTAAATAGCATTTTTGCCGACTTTTATGTTAAAGACGTAATATATCATACTTTGAAGGTGAAATTCTCATTCTGTATGATATATGATGTCAAATGTTTTGAAAGTATTTAAGGATTTTCGTTTCCATAAATATAAAATTTTAAAAATGTAAAGTTTCTGTTGTATATTTTAATACGTTACACACTTTCCACTGAAAATTAGAACCAAACAAAAAATCAACAACCATTAACCGACATTTAAATATTTCTATATTCTGTTTGAGTATATTAAACCTTAAATTTCTGGCAGTAAATTTAATGAACTTTCTTAATTCTTTTTTTTTTTGTTCTGTCACTGAAATTATTTTGGTAGCTTTTGTGGTTCCTTTCAACCAAAACTATAATTTTTATGTTATTTTTACATTTGTTTGTAATTTACCCTGTAGGCCTCTATAAACATTGGTCCTTTACACTATTTTTATAAGAAAACATTGTCATTTTATAAGAACACCAAGGGTGAAATCGCTTAAAAAAATAAGAACAAAATAAAAACAATGAAAATGTCAAATGAGGTTTTTTTTTTTTTTTTTTTTTTTTTTTTTTTTTTTTTTAATATATAGAAAACCAACAAACCTTACCTTATTTGCAGTAGGTGCAACTATGTAATACCCTCATATATACAATATGGTAATATACTGCTGTGTAATAATAATTTTCTATGTTTGAAAAGTGTGTAAGAACATTGAGCCTAGGCAGAATTTTACTGGTTCTTATTTTAAAAAATGTGTATCTGAGTTGCTCTAAAAAGTGAACTGCACGAGTAAATTCAAAATTTTAATTGCTAAACGGTAAGTGTAAGTGGATGGCTTGATCATTTTAATGGTATGTTGAGAGTTCTGTAATCAATTTTTTTCAGGTGTCTCGGATAATACTGATGTTCACATTTGTCTTCATTTATTCTGATATAACTTTGTATTGTTGTCTCCCTTAGTAATACGGACTTCCTTCCATTACTTAAATATTACTAACATTTATGCCGCTTGCGTAGCAGACTGGCTTCCAATGATCGAATACTAGCAATGCGTTTTTCAAAATCCGTTTATGTAGTTACGGTTATAATGTTTTCTGGATTTTGGTTTTTGCCAATGGTCTCTATGACGACGTTAATGAAAACCTCCAAAGGACACTAGCGTCTGATAAATTCTCATGTAAACCCCACGTAGACGACAGAACCACACCTTGACTCACCATGGTCGTGTGGACTACGAAATGTAATTTTTATTTGAATTAAACGGGTATACAGTACATGCAAACATAAAGTGTCTGTGTCTTTTATTAATTGCTGATTTCTACTCTTACTTCTGCGGACATTGGGTGTCATAGCACTGGAATGAAAAACCTAGGTGCTCGGCATCCATTTTCATCACAAAACAGAAAAAAACACAAACAACTCGTACTCTATTCTGTGATTCCCCTCTCCCAAGTGAGTATGCCTACATAGTAAAATAATTGTAAATTTTCAAAGATGTTTGTATTGGTTAGTGTTTGCCTCGTGAAAATAAAATGAAAAGCAACCCCTGACAATTTCTGGAACAAAAAATGTGTGTAGTCTTGATGCGAGTCAGTGGCGTAACAGGTGGGGCAGACTGTTTCCCCCCCCCCCCATGACGGTTTTTACCGGGCTGACCAAGCCGTCGTACCGGGCTGGGTAACTTAAGAGAAAAGAAAGAGGGGAGAGGGAGGGAAAGAGAAAGAAGGGGAAAAGGAAAGAAAAAGAGAAGAGAAAAATAAGGAAGATATAATGACCAGACTCACAACACCCTGCAACCCCTTCTCCACATCAAAAGCTCCTTTAATCTAAGCCGCCAGACATTCTCTGCAGTGGCGTAATCACCGGGGGACAAGGGGAAAATATCCTTCTGTGGAAATTCTTTTCCCACCACTTGAAGATGCCAGTTATTTTGTAAAATAATATGCTCTCAGGCCTACAATTCATAGGCCTACCTACACATAATATTTTGGTGCTTGCGTATTATCAGTGCATCAACTGGCTTAATTGTAAAAGGTAGGCCCAGAGCTATATGGTAAATATGCAATTCATCCACAATCTGCATTTCATAAATTGAAATTACCAATTATCTACGATATTTTCTTTGTGGTCTGCGATTTATCCATTAGTTACACCGCGGAGTTCACGCGTCCTATGTATAATTATAATATCTTTGATTAGTTGATACAAGCGGGTGGATATTGAATGGGTTTGGACGATGACTCACTGCGAATACAGAGAAATAGTTGAACAATAGTTTAATAATTAGGCCTATATTATATAAAAATGTACCATTGCCTTATATCAAACTGTATAATACAGTATATTTTATCCTATCCACATTACAAATCGAAGAAGACTCAACCAATCGGTGTGAACAAAATCAACCTACGATTTTGAAAAGAAACATCATGATCAGGCGATAGAAATGTTATTCTTTGCCAAGATGTTATGTGCTGGTATGTACCGGACCGGAAAAAAAGCGTGGTTCACTAGCATAGAAAGACATTCCCCTTTAAGGTGGCTTATAGAATTCAGATATGGGTCTCCCTCATGTAGAACCAATCCCTGCCCTTTTCAAAACGAGGAGTTTTTTCAAACATCAACATCTAAAATTCGGGACAGAGGGTAGGGTCCAGCTTACGATAGGATCAATAGTAGTTAGAATTAGAATAATATGGGAAGGGTGAACGATCCATTGAAGAAACCTTATAAATAAACTGTAGGTTAGGATTTGTCGCCCCCATGTGGTAGTTTCATCACTAGCATATCCAGGAGGCCTGAATGATGCTAATCCTGAGATGACAGAGACCAGACACCATACCCGAGGGACCCCGATTATAATCTGTATCTGACGTCATATGGGGGTATGGGGGATTTTTTTGAGGATCACTTTAAGACTTCACATCATGTTAAAGGGGCATCTTCATGTTCTTTGGGATCTGCATCTCAATTAAAATTACGACATCAAAATATATATACTGTGCAGTAACTTGACAGTAACCCCATTGTTGTATAACATTAGCCTATATGAGAAGAAGTCTTAATTTTGTCTGCCAAACAATAATCTACCCCATCTGTCATTTAGATTTTTTATGATTTCGATTAATATTAAACCGTAAAACCTCGAATTGAAGCCCAATAGGAAATCTCGAGATGAAGCCCATCTCGAATTGAATCCCCCTCTTTAGTTTGCAAAATTAGCCTTGAAAAGAAGCCCATCTCGAAATAAATTTAAGCCTTCTTTTCAAGATAGCATAGGCTTCCTTTTGAGATAGTGCAGTACATATACTGTACATGAATTGCAAAAACAAAATAAATTAAAAACATGCTTGGTTTACACAGTAGTTTAGGTGATACAATACCAGTTAAATGAATACCATGATACAGATTGATGTTACAGTGGCCTTATTTATAGTTTTATAGGATAAATTCAGAAAATTTACAGTAGGCCTATTCATTTTGAAAAGAAACCCTCCTCTTTACTTGGCAAAAGTAGCCTCGAAAAGAAGCACATCTTGAAAAGATGCCCATCTCGAAAAGAAGCCCATCCAAAGTTCGTAATAATTCGACGTTTTGCGGTATTATTTTTAAAATTTATTTGAGTCTTCCTTTTTATTGCCATGAGCTGAGGTCATAGTGTTATAGGGCATCACCTTATCTACTGTATCACTACTAAAGTAATGCACATCAAAATGGAATAAGCCAATATCGCCAGTAGACTAAACAGAATGGATCCCGCGCCGTGCTTTATGATAATTGTGAATCCTCAATACTGGTCTCCATCGTCTGTTTGTAAATTTTCCCCGCAGCTTTTCATAATATGGATTGTCCCATTACTGTGATGTTTGTGTATCACGTCCTTCCGTTAACGTCACATGAAATTGAGATAACGGTATCGTTCCAAAAGTCGATTACGTCCATACAGTATTAGTAATAACAGTTTTTACGTGTATTATATTTTTTATTAAAATATGAGTGTTTCCGCGAGTGTAATATTAAGTAATGCGTTTTGTTGGTGTTTTATATTTTTGTTGTTTTTTTCTTTTAAGATGTAGGAAGTTTTTGTTTTTTTTCTAAGGACATTGGAGATCATTTATAAACGCAGAAAAATAGGAGAGTGACTTTTGTGTGTTTTTTTTTATTAAACCATCGTCGCCTTTATTGTACATAAGCCTAGTCTTTCAATAATCACCATCATCAACGAAGCATAACACTAAATTATCATTATCTTTGTTGTCGTCATTTGTTGTCTTCACTGCGCCCGACGGAGAGCGTCGCCTTAATTATTAATTATGATTATTATGGTTATTAGCGTCTCTGTATTATAGTATCACAAGCTATTAATGATAGCATTGATTTGCAGCCATCTGTAAAGGCAGGTGTGTCGTATGAAAGTACAGTATGACGATATAGACCAGCAAAGAATGTTTTCTAATGGCTGTCTTTTGTTTTACGTTTTTTTCTTTATTCTCTGTTTTTATAATTATAGGCCTCCTAAAAAAATAACTTATTTTGAAGTGATTAATGACATCCAACCTGAAAGCGCGAATCTCTAGATATAATAACATCAATCATTTTGTCGAGAAATAATTCGCAAATGTGCGAAATATAAATTTTGCCAAAAAAAAAAAAAAAAAAAAAAAAAAAAAACGAATTAAGTGCTTTGTCCATCAATTTAAAATTACGTGGTCTGGGTTTGGACGACAAGCAATTTCCACAGCGTGATATTGAGTATGCATTCCTCTGAATTCAGGAAGTTCTACTAAAGGTCTTCATCCATCCGCCTCGTTGAACAAGTCCCCGGCGACAAATGGAACAAGACGAACACGCGTTTGGGAGAGCCAGAACCGGATAAGTTTATTCCCAACAGAGGAAGGCTTAGAAAACAGCTTAGCAATCCAATGACTGAAAGACTCTGTATGTACACAAGTTGGAGATAATTGTCCTTTTCTGAGCAATGGGGCGGAGTGAGGATATAAATAACATTTAACATTTGCAGTGGTCACATGGAGTTCATGTCGTTTTTGTTTTTAATCGAGTGGGTCTTAGAATGGTAATGTTAAATAAAGTATAAATTATGGATACTTGTGTTTGTCTGAGGTAGTGGCGGCCTGACCCCCCTCCCCCCACCGTCGGGTAAGCGTCAACCCTCTGTCATCCGACGCCTCGACGTGATCGTCGGAACAAAATTTTGGGCCATATGAAACATACAAATCTCTCCCCATGAACCCCAAACCTCTGGAGGCATCACTGATTTGAAGAACCCTTTAGGCCTATATCAAATTGTTGTGTTTTAGAAATGGAAAAGTCTATTTCGCTTTTATACATTGGCGTAGCCCTACTAGGGTCATGGAATAGACGCTGACGAACAAAACGATAGATCAATTCAATTGATTAATATTCAAAATACCGTAGGCAATCAGCAATGGAAGATATACTGTACTCGATTTACAGGTGTCATTGCAATTGAAAAAAGAATAATAATAATACTAACAGTCATATGTATAAATACTGATAAATATATTATTACCAATAATAATAATAATAATAATAATAATAATAATAATAATAATAATAGTAATAACATTAAAAATTGTAGTATTATAACAATACATTAATCATAATAGGACTAATATAATATTAATTCTGATAATAAAACAATAAAAATAATAACAATTCCTTTATCAATAACATTTTCTACAATTAAATGACTATAACAAAACAATAACAATAACTTAAATAGAAACACAAATAATAATAATAATAATAATAGGCCTAATAATAATAGTTTCAAAATGTCTTGCTCAGAAATTTTAAAAAAAATGATTATTTATATCATAAATATTATTTAAACTGAAATACAAAATCTACTGAAATATAATATCAATCCAGATTAATATTTGTGTCTTTGATTGTCCATTGTTTATAGATGGTGACAAAGACATCACATCTATAGTGCACATGCATATAAATGTCCATGTATATGTAAACAATACGTAATATGGCATTCGAGCTTAGAGTTGTCGATGTCAGTGAACATCATTCATATCTTGACCATTCATGGTTACATATAGTGTCCATCATGCATTAAGATATAAATGATGCTGGTTTGCGCGGGACGTATGACGGTTTTTCCGGGCTAAACATCGGCGTCAACGACAAGTAGGATGGTTCCAGGGGTGCTGTCGGTCGTGTTCGCTGTATCCTGGAAGACCCACTAGAGGAATTGTTCCGATTTACTGGCTTCTTCGCAATTTTTGGTGGTTTCTTAGGTAGACTTGAAGGCCTCTGTAAAGGGCTCGGTTTACTGTTCGGGACATTTGCTTCTTGTCCATCTGGTTTTGTAGGTTGAATGTCTTCTTTTGAGATGGCTTCTACTACCTTGGTTGCCGTTCTCGTAGGACTATGATTGCTACTAGCAACTGCAAATTGAAGGCCTACTTCTTTTGATGGTCCGCTATCAAGAAGATTGTCAAGAGACGCGTATAATGGTTCAGTTCCAGGTGCTGCGAATGATTTTGATCTCTCAATCTTCGACTTTCCGTTTCCTTTTGAGGGTGGTATATTAGAGGCACTGCCAACGATAGATGGCTCTAAGTATCCATCTGCGTCTTCAGAAACAAGCAAGCTACTGAGAGACTGCGAAGAAAACAAACGTTGTTTGCTATTCTTGTCGAAATTCTTAAAGAGTTCTTCAAACGACGACCCTTCTTTGATTGTCAATTTGTTTTTAAACATTTGTTTCATACAAGTCGCGTAGGTAACACCACCGTTTTGGATGGTCACGGAGTCAGGTTGCGTCTCTATGTTATCATCTTCATTGGGTGTCTCGCTGCCCTCCGGATCTTTCCGTTTCGTCATAGGAGTAGCGTATATTGGCGAGTCGGCTTCTACGGTAATGTTATTGTTGTCCACATAATGCTCACTTACAAACAAACCAACTTCACTGCATGGACGGAGCGGACTATACATATCCGATTGCTCAGTATTGACTGGAACGTCTGGCACGGCGTAATCGTCGCGATCTGTGTGGACATCTTGGTGTGCTCTCGGTCTGATGATGACGATTTCATCAAGGGTCAATTTGCTCCTAGGTTTGGTATACTGGAACTTACGATAAGCTATCCAGATGATGATGCAAATAAGAATAAACAAGAACAATAGACAAAGCACAATTATGACAATGATACGTTGTGTGATGCTTGGATCGTCCTTTGGGATCGTGCTTCCAACTTCGGTAGCGTTCACCGGTGGCTCGGTCGTTATTTGTGGTAGTAGTGGTGGCGGTAACCTAGTGCGCATCTTTGGGATCCATCCCGTTTTACCTTTAGGAGTCTGTGTTATTGCAATACGAGGACCAATATCCGCAGTGTCAACTAAATGCGATGTAGACTGCATAATATTTGTCGTTTTGCTGATCGTTGTCGGTGGTAAATTCGTTGTTGATCGTATAGTCGTGGTCGGCGGCAACGTTGTAGTCGGGAGATCTAACCATATCTTACCACGTGATTCAGCTGTCAGTCCATTAACTGTTGCCACTGTACAGTAGAAACGAACCTTATGATCTTGTCTTTTCAGATTTCTTACTGTCACAGACTTTGTATCTTCAGATATTTGTAATCGTTTGCCCATTTTCTTCATTGCATTCGGAGGTGACGTTGTCCAGGTGTAGCTTTCAATTGAAGGTACACCTTCTCCGCTGCACGTAAATGTTACTGTATCTCCAAGAAATCCATTGTATCTTTTAGGTGCTACTTCCGCTGTAGGCAAAATGTGAAGAGCATGCGCAACACAAGTGCGTTCGGTTTCCAAGGCAGGTGTGCTCATTACACAAGAGAAGTCCAAACCGTTGTCTACTTCATAGACATTCGTTCTATAGTAGAATTGCCTTGTGTCGTCAAAAGACTGGTCGATGGCAGGGAGCTCAGACTCACCTTTATACATTTTGACCGTTGGCAGTGGATTACCTCCGAATGTCATGCAGACGAAATCCACTAGATCCCCAGGCATAGTTTCATTCCTATCATCTGGTAGAAAAACATTAATAACACAATGTGGTGATTCGATATTTGGCTCTTTTAGTTCCTTCTCTACAGCAGCAAGATTTCTTGTAGCTACTCCGCCCCTGATTGTGTAGTCATTCGTATTATTGCATACATACTCTATGTCCTGTGGTTCATCGAAGTGATATTTTATGAGGCTGAACTCTTCGATAGATTGTATTCTCTTTTCAGGAGCTCTCAATTCCTCTTCTGCGTTTTCTATATCTGTGCAAATAAGATCGATGTTATTGTCTCTTGTGCAATAAACCTCTTCGAAAGGTGTTGCGTTAGCTAGTTCACATCGTTTGGTTCGTTTTTCACTTGTTCTGATATTTCGAAAACAATTTGCAATTGGCAAAGTTTGTAGAAGTGTAAATAGTATCAAAATACAATGAATAGAGTTGCCTCTTCTACGTGCATTCATCTTTGATTGCGAAGTGTTAAAAACTGAAATTGAACAATGTTGCAGTGGTATTTATAGGTCTACGTAACCTTTGCCTCTTCGTCAAGTAAAACTCCCGCACGGAATCAAGAGCCTTGTTTACCGGTTACTTCGCGCAATGCAACGAAAATCCATTTCTTAAATTTGGCACTTGAATATAATATAGCATAAAATCGCGTCGGCATGAGGCTTTGCCGTTTACGTTTATTAGATAAGCCGCCCTTGAACCCGACTAAATCGTTTCATTGATGTTGCGTCCACACATAGACTGACAAAATAAAAACGCAGTGTACTGGGTGTAGGCCGGATATATTGGGATCACGTGGTACAGAATAATAACGGTATAAGACTGCAGGGAGAATTTCCAATTATATTCCTTGTAACTTCCAACTGGATTCAATTTGCATAAACTATAACAAGAAATTCATATAGGCCTATTCGTTGCAGTTTCCATTTGCACATTTCTTCATATAGGCCATAATACATGTAAAATAATAATTATCCGCTGCTAACGGAGAATAACCGCATTATTGTCCAATGTTCTGAAAATATAGTCTGTTCCTGTCTTGACGGATTGCCTAGAAATAAATAAGAAGATAATGTTACATCATTTAAGTATACATAATTTCAGTTGAGCTTACTTGACGTCCATGGGATGGATATCAAGATTGTTGGTTGTGAACTTACAGACGACACCGTCTGCACTTTCCATTTATCCACTATCTCAAGCTCTTTATGGTCACGACGCAACATTATCGGTGAGTGACCTTTCAGTGAGTAGCCTTTTCTTAGATTTTCGAATTAATGCCAAATCAAAGATGTCATTAAAATGAAGTAGTGTTGTAATCGGCTGTAATCAAAGAAGCTGTTATATCAGATTAAAACCAGATCACGACGAGTTTTAACTCATTTTGCGAGAACAAATATCATTTTAATAACATATACTCAAATAAATAAAAAGTAGTCAATTTAAATATTGCATTTCATGAGCAATGGCCTAAAGAGTCAAGTTTTTCCATCTCAAGTGCATTTTAAAACTAATGTCCCGATGATATTTGGATTGTGTTACTATTATATATGTAGAATTCTGAATTTTGTAGCCTATTTGTAGTAAGTGGGCGTCTACTGAAAATGGCACGAACATCGAATAATGGTATATATCACCACGAATCACCGGAAGTGCATAGGCCTACATAAAGCGCCATTGGTCAGAAGTTATATCAACTTGAACATAATCAACAAAATTTAGGGCATAGGCCTATCTACTTATTCCGTACCAAGTTCACTGAACCCGGTGAATGAACGAAGAAAAATAATTTGTCGATGCTTTTGTTTGATGTGTCAACATTCAGACGGGAACAGAAATAAACCCGTGTTGCTTGAATAAGGGTATATTAGCCCCGACTCCTGTGAGATTGGCTGCGCTGAACGAACAATAAACGCAACGAATAGACCCGTACTGCTTGAATAATAATATATTAGCCCCGACCCTGTGAGATTGGCTGCGCTGAACGAACAATAAACGCAACGAATTCACCTGCCATAAATCTTAAAACAGTGATCAGGAACTATATGTTAACTACACTAGCAACACGTTAAATATGCACTGTCTGTCATGAGCTTTAAAATAGTAATTCCATATTTAAACCAATGGCTTTAATACAATCTACAGTATTCAAATGCTGGGTAAATCTTGGGTGAATCCTTTCTTTATCAAATTTCAGAGGACAGCCCTTTTGGGAATCGCGTAAGACGAGATCATGACCTACCAAAACATTTCAGTGTAACCTATTAAAAACCACTACGACCCAGCTCCCAAATGACCACTAATAAGACAACATGGGTGCACTCAAAATAAATCACCATGCTATACAAACACCGCACTTAAATAGTTCACTGAACGCATTTCTAGTTTCGGTGATTGGGATTGAACAATTTCAATACCTTTGAATTAAAGTCTATAAGAAAGGCAGAATTTCAACAATAAGTCTAGTGTTTATCGTGTATTTTGTGGGCACATATATCTTCAGGCAGCATTCTTATGAAAATAATTTCTGTGTCTTATTTTACACCTTCTCATCTAGAGATTTATAGATGTACGCCTCGCACGCGTTCTGACAGGAAACACATTTTTAGCACTGTATAACCCTGGCCGTAATATTGCGTTCGTTAGGAAAATAATCGTCTTAGAGTAGAGTTTATTGTAATAATAAACCTATGTAAGCATAATTCTAGGTCAATCCGCAAACAACTAATTATTATATAACAGTTGTCTCAAACATTTTTCAATGTAGGCCTACAGTACCGTACGTTTTCGTCCGTAACGTGGCCACTTTTTCGATTTTTCCTTTGCAGTAATTTTGACTACAATACACAATAGGCCAGGACTAATACAAAGATACTAACACTGGGTGTGTTGCCTCGTAAGGGTGCAACAAGGAGGAGACACAAAAGGAACGAACGCGAGACGAACGAGGAATAATATTTCTTTTTCGCTTAATATGTACTTATTACACCAAAATGCTTCGGTTAACTTGTTATTAAAAAATAAATAAATAAAAAACACGGGTACCTGTATATATTTTAAAAAGCAAAATCGGGTGTCACTCTGAGAGAGTTTAGGTCTTATTAATTTTAATAGCTCCTTAACTTTACAGAAAGGAGGCGCCGTTCATTAAAAAGACAATATGAGTATACCCTAAACACACCCACACACATAAATATATCGTTTCATTGTTTTCCTTTCAATTAATAGTTTTTACAAAACACCAAAAAAAAAAAAAACCGATGGCAATAGGGAATTAATTGAAGACAACCATGGGATCCTAATAAAGTGAACAGTTGCGTAGCCTAAGTTTCATAATGAGGCTTGGGATGTGGGGTTGTTTTTGGTCTCAGAAAAAAAAGTACCCTGTAACGTTACACTTTAGGGCGCATAATACAGAAAAAACTTCCTTTGGTGTTTAAAAATTATGAATGAAGTTGGGTGCCGTTATCCAACGTCAACCTTGAATGAGTCATGGGATTTTTAAAATCGTTTTTTTTTTTTTTGTATTTAGCTCTGGCGTTATGCCCAAATTGACATGAACGAAAGTCACCAGACCCAATACATGTTTGATTGATACAATACTATGGAACGTTGCAACGCACCAGTGATGGTGTAGCAGAATAATTAGCGGTACATAACATTAATTATTCCAGGGAGTTATTCTCAGCACAAGACCTAAATAGACCTACCTGTACCTGAATTGAAAACCAATGACAGAATCTTTCGCAAACCTGGCCTGTTTGTAAATACTGTACATTACGCAATAATCCCTTCGGATGGATCGGGTCGGGGCATTGGCAGAGCAGCTCATTCTTTACTAGCCAATTATAGGTGTCGTTGAGAGGTTTACAAAAGTCCTAGCTAATAAAATTTCATTTTAGATATACAGTACTTTACTTCAGCACCTCGATGTTGAAACACGTGTATAGGCTATACATTTAGTCTATTTTGAACCATTGGCCCATAGAGGAACTCGTGACTTTTCGATTGTTTAGGCGGCACTGGTAGTGCCTAAACCTTTCGTATCTATGAAGGTTCAAGAGGTCATTTTTGCAAAACATTCACGAAAACATAAATTGAATAATGTGCATGAATTAATTGATAAACCCATAGGCGGAGGCCTAAAATATTGTGTGCATATAAATGAATGAATAAATATACATACGTCTAGGTCTATTACAACTGTCGACGATAGTACTGTACAGCCATTTGTTATTGTCCGAGTCCATTGACTGATCCGAAGTTATACCACAGTTACATGTGAGTGCGGCGATGTAGATTAATCCCAACTTTAATACAAGAATGAACTAACTGATCTATTATAACCGCGATTCGATATTTAATATCTCATAGAAGACCAGAATCTGACGGTAACTTTTGATGCTAGCGCCAACACAATCCTACCTTGTATCGAGTCTGAACTAAAATACTGTACTGTACCCGCGCGATGTTGTCAACCACACTGTAATCAATTAGCTCGAATGACACACATCAGTCAGGCACAACTTGATGGCATAAAGGGGCGTTTTGTACTGATCGCAATTCCTGTGGTCGATGGGATTCGCGAATAAATCCCCTCGGGCTAGCTACTTCAGTAAATTGGTCCGATGTCGCGTTTTACCTCGTCAAACCAGAATTATATTTACCTTGGTTATTATAAACAAACTAGAGGAAAGTTTCCTTTTCCACTTAAAATCCAATAGCCTAATGCCAGTGGCGGGACCTTGTAAATTAGAGGTAGGCTTTGGAAACAAATTATTATGATTAGGAAATAGGCCGACTGACTACCTCCATGGTCTGACCATGAATTTATGAAAGTGGTGATGATATTAGGAGTAATATAGCGTAGATAGTCGATGACATACGACCAGACCGGGACCAGACCACACTGAATACTGTGAGAAAATGATAGAGTGTGGTATTTGGTTATTCCACACAACGGGCAGCGACAAATTTAGAGGAAAGTAGACTAGCGGGGAGGTATATTTTGTTGAGTTACTTGGGGCCTGGGGTGTTGTATACCAGTGGGGTCCAGGGTGCAAGGAGAAAGGCTGGGGGTGGGGGTCTTCTAGTAGACCTACCGTATCCTAGTTTCAGAAAATCGCTGCCAGATCACCGACAGCTGACGCTGATTGGCGGTTGAATGGAAGACCCTTCCCGATTGTGCAGTCGCTGACCGCTACGCAATGCAACCATTGCAAAACACTGCAGTAGTGACAGTAGGGATTTTATGGAAAACAGGCTTTATGGATCTGGATACATACCGTATAGGCTTACTCCTCAAAGTGAGATGGGGATGCTTTGATTACCTGCTTTAATGGTCCAAAGCGAGTCGCCTTCGATGTGGCCTAAGTTTCACTGACGGTTTAGTTGTTACTAGTTGAGATCATTCACACGTTTCTCATGAATCGCTTGAATAAAAATCATGATATTAATGGATCACTCACTGATCCTGAGTCTCTAGTATTGAGGATATCAAATTAATGGACTATATTATAATATAATACTACTAATACTAAAGTGATATGCGCTTCAGACAGGCGGGATTTTGTGACCATTGTAGTGTGTACAACCATAGAGGAAGATGGTATACAACAGACAATTACCTCCCGCCTACATAATCCTCTGCCATTCATCATAACCGTCCCTTTCATTTAAAATTGTTGTTCGTAACCCACTTTAGGAAAGATAACTGAACAAAGGGTATACCAATGATCAAACAATTTGTTGCTTGATAAAAAAAAAAAAAAAAAAAAAGTATATATAGCGTGGTATTCAGTATTATTAGGCTATTTTTTTGTAAAACTGAACCTCTTGTTCTATTCTTCTATCCCTAAAAAACGTAGGAGAGATGTTCCACTGAATTGGCCTATATTTAGACCATGGTTATAATTTAGTATGATAGTCATTGTCTAATTATTTATTACTTCCTATATATAGACAAACTCCTTGAAACAGTGGATTCACTGTCTCGTAGCTACCTGGGAACATCAGATCAGGGACACTTTCACTGCAATGACGGGACAATTATGTAATTATTTCCTCATTTTATCATAAAACAAAGGTTTCACGCAGCAATATTTTCAATGGGCATGTTCTGGTTTTAGGCATAGAAATATATCACCTTGGACCATGCCGGGACACTATTTTGACTATGTAAACCCGATTACCTAAAATAAACAATAATTAATTATGAGGTGCTTATCATCATAAAGAATAAAAATAATTTAAACCATGATATAGCACATTATCATGCTACAGCATCAAAACGCTTAACAATATAAATAATAGCAGAGAATTTAAGAAAAAATATTGTTTAAAGAGAAGTAAACTTTAAGAGGGCTTTGAAAGTGTTTTTAAAGAAGATGAATAATTTCGTATTAATTCTCATTAATAAATAGGCCTACTGGTAATGTCTAGTTTCAAATCTATGAAGACACCAAACCTGATTTAATTATTGCACGTAATGTTATTCATTTTAACTATAGGCCTCTATCATTGGCAACAATTGTTGTGCAGTTGTAGTGCAGTGATTGACTTCGTATTTTGCTCGTTTTACGCTTGGCTAATTTATATCGGCTAGGATTTCTCTCTTTGTCAAGTGGATCACATCTGAGTTTGATAAAAGTTATGGTTCGTTACATCACGCATTGTACAGACGATTCATCTTCCTCGTTTTATGAGATATGAATCATAGTCTGATCCAAGTTATTAATGTCAATCATGTCTCATTATAAAAAAAAATGACTAATATGACGTCATCGATCCATAAGTCATGGAGACAGGCCTATCTCCGCCTGCATAGGCCATTATCCTAACTTTTTGGTGTATCATATAAGGTCAAATAGTCTATTAAAACGAGTTTCTCAATCCTTCTTTAATATTTCATTTGGGCAGCGGCAACTTACTTTTTGTTAATTCTTTAAAACTTCTACATACCAATAAAGTTTTTGATTGAAACAATAGATTCTATGTGTGTGTGTGTGTGTGTGTGTGTGTGCATTGTAATCTCTTGATTCTGGAAAAGGGGCCTCATCCTCGTCTCCCTATTTTTCGAAAAGCCCGGATGAGAGGCATGTTTGTTAAAATGAATGTGCAGTAACCACCGACTACTTGAATTTATTACATGGCGATGTTTGTGGCTTTAAATTGTGTGCTTTGAATAAACCTTCTTCACAGAGAGACCCTTGATTTGTATCCAAGCTTAATAAAGCAATAAATCATTCCTTTGTGTACGGGTAAAACTTCCGGTCGTCAGGTTCACTGCTCTGTATTTTCATAACCATCATTATCCACCCAATATTCTAGTGGTTCGGCACGCACAGCATTAAAAAGCAAATACATCTATTAAATGGCGAGCCGAATTGTCATTTAATCGCAAATAGAGATATCGTAGTTTTAAATAGAGATATCTCTATTTAAAATTATGATGTCTTTATTTAAAACTAAGATATATCTATTAACGTTAATGACAGGTAATTACATACCGCATGTTGTAGAGACTTCTATGCGCTTAGCGTAGATGCACCAACTGTAGCCCACAAACACTAAAACAGTACCGTAGGACCTTCCATCGAGATGAGACATACACGCATGAGCATTGTTGTAGAATCGAGGAATATATATAACTATGTTAATTTATTTAACCAGATATGTCGTGACCTGAATGGGAAATACTATAGATAATGGGTTTCATCTAGGCCTATGCTTATGCTGTGTTTATTTTATTTTTTCAAAAAAGGAATGGTAGGTCTACGTGGTGCCAGTGGCATATCTAGGTATAGGCCCATTGACATGAGGGGCTGATGGGGTGCGCGAAGGTTAGAGTAGGGGGAAAGAGGATATATATGTGTGGGGAGATATCTGCCAAAAAGGTGATTAGTGGACTTGAATGTGTTTGTGCTCTGTAAATTTTCAGTAGGAGGGAGCCTGGGGTGGGTGCAAGCTTTTTTTTGTAGGGCGTTCCTCTATAGATACGTCGCAGTCTTTGCTTATTCAGTAGGACAGCCGATAGACGATTTGTCCGTTATATCGCGATTTTTCGATCTTACTTCCGCATTTGCTTTGCGCAGCGCCACCTATCGTTTCAAAGCGTAACCACGTTTTAGCGTCGCTTAGCAAAA